TTGCTGTATGTTAAAAATATTTTTTTTGAATTAAAATAGAAAAACGCAGCTTTGTTTAATTACACTTTTCTTTTGTTAAAAATCTACCGTGACGTCAAATGCTAAAACTTTTATGAATTAAACGCGCTTCGAAGGAATCGCCAAAGTGTGTAGATTGCAGCGTATAATTTAAAGTCTCTGAGTTATTCAAAAAAATGGAGAAGGCAAGCTTCGGCTAAAACAACAACATTAATTTTTCTCGGTATGCATTCATTATTTATTTTTAATCAAAAAAACTTGGTTCAAACCTTTTTTTTTAACATTATCTTTAATTTGAACACAACATGTGTTGGGAGTTTGGGATCCCTTTAATGACTATTTTATGACTAATCATTAACAAAACAAAAAAAAAAAAATTGAACGAGTTTCTCAGTATACATTTTATTGTGCATTTAATGACTAGTAAACTTTAAATGAATTTGTTATGCAAATACATTAAATATTTTAATTTGATATCTTTTTCGTCTTTGTTTATAGAATTGCTTTTTTTTATTTAAAAGCAATAATTTCAAAACTCAGCAAATCCTGTGGATCCCGTAAATCCCGCAGTAGTTTTTGCGGGATCTCACATGCGCTAAAATAATGTGGGATCCCGTGGGATTGCGGGATCACGCAATGCAGGATTGCAATCCCTAGTTAAAACCTTTTTTTTTTTAATAATTGAAAACTTTCTAAACAATTAACTACAAGTTTTAGAAATATTATATTTGGTTGCATAGAGGCTGAGAAGATTAGAATTAGAAGATTAACTTCTAGATCATCTAACTTATCTAAAAGTCTCTGCGAATTGTTACCATCCAAACCTGTTTTGTGGTAACCTCTAATCATAATATAGTTTGATTTAAGCCATGTATCAAAATCACGCCACAAAGTAATAAATACTAAAATAAACATTGAAGTAATACCAACGAAAATGTGTAACTCTGGAGGAGGGATAAGATGTTTCACTAATGTTTCTAAAGGTTCACCAAGATATAGTTTCTAATTATATATATAATTCTAATAGTATATGCTTTATATATATATATATATATATATATATATATATATATATATATATATGTATGTATGTATGTATGTATGTATGTATGTATGTATGTATGTATGTATGTATGTATGTATGTATGTATGTATGTATGTATATATTCTAATAACTTCTAATTATATATATAATTCTAACAGTATATGTTATATATATATATATATATATATATATATATATATATATATATATATATACATACATACATACATACATACATACATATATATATATATATATATATATATATATATATATATATATATATATATATATATATATATATATATATATATGTATGTATGTATGTATATATATATTCTAATAATTTTTAATTATATATATAATTCTAATAGTATATGTTATATATATATATATATATATATATATATATATATATATATATATATATATATATATATACATACATACATACATACATACATACATACATATATATATATATATATATATATATATATATTTCTAATAGTATATGTTTTATATATCTGATCTCACTTCTGTAAAATCTGATCTTTATATATCTGATCTCACTTCTGTAACACAAGTTAAATGAAAGTTAAGTTTAAATGAAAATTATCTAGTTGGGGCTCACAGTGGCTTGTAAATTATAACTCCAACTAAACTCAGTTATTTACTGCAAACAACTATCGCAGCACTGTCAACATTCCTATATTCATGAATGACAGCCCTCTCACTGAGTCCTCTTTTTTACGCTTTCTTGGATTATTGTTTACTACTGACCTTTCATAGAAAGCATATATATAATCGATTGCTAAATCAGCATCTACTAAGGTTGCTTCTCTTTATTGTGCTCACCATTTTCTCTCTCCTGATTCCATTCTTTATCTCTGCAAATCTCTTATTCGTCCCTGTATGGAATACTGTTATCATATTTGGGCTGGTTCTTCTAACGATACTTTTTTTTTTCTAGACAAGGTCTTAATACACATTGTAAACGTAGTTGGATCTACTCTACCTGCTAAGTTAGAGCCTTTTTCCCATTGTCATAAAGTTGTATCTTTTTCTCTTTTCTGTAAATACTATCATGGTTGCTGCTCAAAGGAGCTATTATCTCTAGTTCCATCAACTAAAACTCATTCTTGCTTGACTCATCATTCAGCAAAGCCTCATTCTTTTACTGTACATGCACTAAAAACTTTTATTTGTCTAGTTTTTTTCCCAGCACCTCAACCCTTTGGAATTCTCTTCCATCTTCATGTTTTCCTAACTCATACAACTTTCAACTTTTTAAGTTTTCTGTCAACCGTTTCCTTGCTCTAAAATTCGGTTCTTTTTTTCTAGTAACTTACAACTTAGTATTGGTTATTTGGTGCTGGGAGTGAATCAGAATAAAATAAATGAACTAAAAAAAAAATAAGACAAAAAAAAATTAGACTAACAGAATGCTTAAAAAACTGAAATTGTATGAATAAAGAAAGCTGAAGACAAAGGAATAAAAAAAAAGAAATAAGAAAAAAGCTGAAAGATAATAGGAAAGAAGTAAACAAAGTAAAATTTAAGTTCAAAATTAAACACTAAAAACATTGGCATTAAACTTTTAAAAAGTTTAACACCAATGACTACCACACTTGTATGGGTTGGATGGATTTTCAGAATATTGAAGTGATGAAGCAATTTTTCTAGATTCTCCTCCTGTTTTGCAGACCAGACATAGTATTTTTATTGTGATGCAACCAATAGAAAGATTACCATCCTAGGTTACAACCTCTTCCTACCTATAACCACAACTACATTACATCTAGATCTAGAAGACCTAGAAGGTCTAGAAGATCTTAATGCGATGTATATATATTATATACATATTTATATAAAATGTATATATACATTTGGACTTGAAAATGTTATTTAAATATTTCCCAAAGTCTATTATTTTGGTGATTAAAATTAGTGGGCACATTACTGATTGATGAAAGTATGTAAATCAATGATATTATAAGACAGTTGATGATTAAAATTAGTGGGCACATTACTGATTAATGAATATTATTTGATAATAGACAGAAAAAATACATGATATTTACATATGGCATGCTGGTTGTTGACTGAGAAAAAAAAACAAAAACAAAATGTTTTTAATATTAGCAATAAAAACACTTTACATATGGCATGCTGGTTGTTGACTGAGAAAAAAAAACAAAAACAAAATGTTTTTAATATTAGCAATAAAAACACTTTACATATGGCATGCTGGTTGTTGACTGAGAAAAAAAAACAAAAACAAAATGTTTTTAATATTAGCAATAAAAACACTTTACATATGGCATGCTGGTTGTTGACTGAGAAAAAAAAAACAAAAACAAAATGTTTTTAATATTAGCAATAAAAACACTTTACATATGGCATGCTGGTTGTTGACTGAGAAAAAAAAACAAAAACAAAATGTTTTTAATATTAGCAATAAAAACACTTTACATATGGCATGCTGGTTGTTGACTGAGAAAAAAAAACAAAAACAAAATGTTTTTAATATTAGCAATAAAAACACTTTACATATGGCATGCTGGTTGTTGACTGAGAAAAAAAAAACAAAAACAAAATGTTTTTAATATTAGCAATAAAAACACTTTACATATGGCATGCTGGTTGTTGACTGAGAAAAAAAACAAAAACAAAATGTTTTTAATATTAGCAATAAAAACACTTTACATATGGCATGCTGGTTGTTGACTGAGAAAAAAAAACAAAAACAAAATGTTTTTAATATTAGCAATAAAAACACTTTACATATGGCATGCTGGTTGTTGACTGAGAAAAAAAAACAAAAACAAAATGTTTTTAATATTAGCAATAAAAACACTTTACATATGGCATGCTGGTTGTTGACTGAGAAAAAAAAACAAAAACAAAATGTTTTTAATATTAGCAATAAAAACACTTTACATATGGCATGCTGGTTGTTGACTGAGAAAAAAAAACAAAAACAAAATGTTTTTAATATTAGCAATAAAAACACTTTACATATGGCATGCTGGTTGTTGACTGAGAAAAAAAAAACAAAAACAAAATGTTTTTAATATTAGCAATAAAAACACTTTACATATGGCATGCTGGTTGTTGACTGAGAAAAAAAACAAAAACAAAATGTTTTTAATATTAGCAATAAAAACACTTTACATATGGCATGCTGGTTGTTGACTGAGAAAAAAAAACAAAAACAAAATGTTTTTAATATTAGCAATAAAAACACTTTACATATGGCATGCTGGTTGTTGACTGAGAAAAAAAAACAAAAACAAAATGTTTTTAATATTAGCAATAAAAACACTTTACATATGGCATGCTGGTTGTTGACTGAGAAAAAAAACAAAAACAAAATGTTTTTAATATTAGCAATAAAAACACTTTACATATGGCATGCTGGTTGTTGACTGAGAAAAAAAAACAAAAACAAAATGTTTTTAATATTAGCAATAAAAACACTTTACATATGGCATGCTGGTTGTTGACTGAGAAAAAAAAAACAAAAACAAAATGTTTTTAATATTAGCAATAAAAACACTTTACATATGGCATGCTGGTTGTTGACTAAGAAAAAAAACAAAAAACGAGTTGTTTTTAATGTTAGCAATAAAAACACTTTTTAATACCTGTTTATTTGGATATTATTAGATATTGCATTGTTTCTAGAATACTATTAGCGTATTATTTTGTTGTTAGGATATTATTTTTGCTATCAAACAATGTGTTATTGCTATCAAAACATGTATCTTGGTACTAAGGCTGTCAAACCTATCTAATTTTGAGGTAATATTTCTAATGTCTCAATTCAAAAAAAACTTAGCTCAATTCTAAAATCTCAATTCAAAAAAAACATAGCATTGATTAAATTTAGCTTTTTCTATCAATTTTTTTTTAAGCATTTATACATATATACCTTTAGAATCTCTATTTACTGGATCGACTTCTTTTTGGAACTCAGCACCTATCACACCAAGCATTATAATAGCAGTTGCGTGACGCAATCTGATGTCACTAGAAACCATTTTTCTAGTTGTCATCATAACCATTGCAATATCTGAATGATCTTCTTCAGTATTTGGAAACACACTTTTTTCTTAAAAAATTTTTTTGTTATGAACAAATCAGGTTTAATATTAAACAGAAAAATGTAAATAATAATTGAACAATGTACTAAATAAAAAAACATACCGTCCTCATTATTTACATATTGTTCTAAATCTTCAAAACCAAACTCCACAGCATCTAAATTTTGTGGTAAATGTGGAGACCAAGCATCAATAAGTTGCTTTCTTCCTGAAGGCCCGATGCGTTGCAGTTCAGCTAATAAAATGGCTTGGGCAGCTTCACGAATCTATTAGGCAATGAAAACTATACAATGAAAAAATATTTTTTATTTTTTAAGCCAACAAAAACATGTAAAACATGTTGCTTATCATTAGAATCATTTATTGTTGTTAGTTTTGACTTACATCATTGCACTTTGTGTTAGGATTAGTACAAGATAAAAAAAAAAAATATACAAAATAGTACAAGATAAAAAAAAAAAAAAATGCATAAACTTAGCAATAGTTTATCTGACTTATAGACATGGTCTGATTATATTAAATGTTATAACCATAGGATCTGTCAACAAATATGATTGTCTATCTGCAACACAACAAATATTGAAATTGTTGATTGAAAATTTTAAGTATTACCTACAGAAAATACAATTTATTTCACATAATGATATGATGTAATAAAAATAAAATAAATTTTTTAGTGCAAATTTAATTTTTATTTTTTTTTCCAGTGGCAAACCTAAAACTCTAAAACTTGAATCTCAATGAGCAATTAATTGTATAGGGGAAGTGGGGACATAACCGCATATGGAGGCACAACCGTTTTTTAAGATTTCTCTTCAAAAAATGTTATCTAATATGGCAAAAAACATACCATGCGTTAGTAAAACAGTTTCCTTCGTTTTGCATATGTCAAAAAGAGTGACTGTTAAGTTTCTGAGAAGTTGTGAATAATAATGTTTATTTTGATAAAAATATTATATTTACATCATATTTTTCCTGACCTTCTTTTTGAGAATTAAGCAGTATTTGATTTTAGTGTTAAAGATATGTGTTATCAGCATTATTTCATGAAGTGAAAGCCATTTTTGATAATACCATAATCTAATAATTAAGCTATGAAACTGAATTTTTTCTAAAAACCCTCTTCTGGGGCAGAACTCTCTTCTGGAGCAGAACTCAAAATGTAAATACAAAGAATGTCTGCACAATATGCAAACGTGCAACAAAATTATCAAATAATCTGAGCTGTGAAAATTGTAACAAAAATGTACAATGAAAGGTGTAGCCCCATCGATTTTTGTTAGGGTACGGTTGTGCCTCACAATCGAGGCAAAACCATTTTTTTCACTAAGTGTAATTTTTGTGTAATAACATTTTCAAAACCCATTCAATTTTTTTCTTAAATGCATCAATTTAAAGCTTAATGATGTGGTTATTGAAAAAAACTGCTAAAAAAAAAACATTTTGTTTTTATTTTCATATAACATTAATCCAAATGTTACGGGGGCGGTTATGCCCCCACTTCCCCTATATACACAGTCACAATCAATTGTATATAAACACAGTCACAATCAACTGTATATATACACAGTCACAATCAATTGTATATATACGCAGTCACAATTAATTGTATATATACGCTGTCACAATCAACTGTATATTTACACAGTCACAATTAATTGTATATATACACAGTCACAACCAATTATATACCCTTGTTAAATGTTCTAATGGTGTTTCTCAGAGTTCAGTATTGGGACCACTGCTTTTCCTTTTTTATATTAATGGTCTTCATACATCCATTAAGTTTTCTACTGTTTACCACTTTGCTGATGATACTAATCTAATGCTAATTAATAAATCCCTTAAAAATTAACAAACACATTAAACATGATCTTGCCAATCTAGCTCAGTGGCTTCACTCCAACAAACTTTTTTTAAACTCTAATAAAACTGAACTTGTTATCTTTAAATAAAATAAAACAAAAATCTATAAACATACAAACTTTAAAGTGGCAAGAAAATAGAACCTGTAAACTCAATTAAATATCTTGGTATAAAAATTGATTCAAATCTTTCCTTTTTATCCCACTGTAAAGACTTAGTAATGAAACTAAGTAGATCTAACGGCGTATTGGCCAAAATTCACCATTATGTTAATCTTGAAACACTCTTGAACATATAACATGCTATTTTTGGCTCACATCTTAGATATACATGCCAAGTATGGGGGCAGTTTCATCAACAAGCACTTATTAGGTTATCCTATCTCCAAAACAAGCCTTTAAAAACTATTTATTTCAAGAATATTAATTTTAATCCTGATGGGCTCTACCTAACTTCTAAAGTATTAAAACTGACTTTATTCAACTTTTAAACTGTCAATTTGTCTGTAACCACCAACACAATAACCTACCTTTAACTTTCAGTATTTTTTTCTTCCAAAAATTCTAACACTTATTATCACCTTTGTTTCAATAGTGATTTAAATATGTCTGTCTCTAAACACTCCTCTTATAAATACAGACATAAATCTATAAAATATCAAAGCATTAAAACTTGGAACAACCCTTCTTATGAACTGAAAGCTCTCAACTCATTCTCAACTTTTAAAACCAGTTTATTCTACTTTTTATTAAAAAAATACAGTTAATATTTCTAATTTCTATAATCAATTTTTGTATTCTTTAGTATTGTTTATTATTACTGTTATTAATAAAACACATTTAATATTTCTAATTTCTATAATAATTTTTGTTGTTATTACCATTGCTTATTGTTATTTTTATAAATATTTTACATTACTATTATTAACTACTTTTAACTATTATTAATAATATTAATATTGTTGCTATTATTATAGTCTAAATACTAATACTGTAAGATTTCAATGTTCAATGCCGTTAGTTACTATTGTTCGATATTAGTAACGGTTCTGTATTTTGTAAAATACTCTAATGCAAACAGTTACCAATCTACATTTGAAATTACACGAGGCAAGCTTTTATATTTAATAAGGAGATTAAGCTGTATTTACTTTTTAAACGTATGTTGTTGTTGTTGTGTGTTGATGTCCTAACAATTTTTCATTTTATTTACTATTTGTTTTATTTATTGACTTTGGTTTCATGCAAACTTTTATGGCTTTTCAATAAATATTTTATTTAATATAACTTATTGGATATAAATGAATTTTGTTCATAAATATAAATTTGATATTGTATGTTTGTTTATTTATCTCTTAATATTTGCAGTAAACATTTGCTTACATTTTTATTTGTTTATTTTGTTTAGTTATTTAGATACTAAAAATACTAGCAGTAAGCATTTCCTTGTGTTTATTTATTTAGACTTAAATTAAAAGAAAATTTCTGTTTCCAGAGTTGTGATTAATCATAATTCAGTTGTTGAACAGATGAAATTGTAGAGGTTTATATCATATATATATATATATATATATATATATATATATATATATATATATATATATATATATATATATATATATATATATATATATATATATATATATATATATGTATATATATATATATATATATATATATATATATATATATATATATATATATGTATATATATATATATATATATATATATATATATATATATATATATATATATATATATATATATATATATGAAATAAAAATCAAATGCAGTTTCAAAATTTGAAACTGCATTTGATTTTGTTTACATAAAGAATCATATTAAGATAAATAATCATCGTTAAGATCATATTATAATTGAAGTAAGTGTAGAAACTAGTTTAGCAATTTATATATAACATTTTTATTAGAAATAAAGTAGAATAGATCACTCCTTTTAATTTTGTAAATCATTTACATTTTGTTTGTTTTAGTTTTTCTTTTGGCTTTATTTTTTTCTAGCAGTTTTGTTTTTATTGAGCATATCTTCTATTTTTTAGAAGGAAGATTGAGGTATGGATGATGTCTATTTATTTTTTATGCAACAAAAAAGTTATGCTAATGCTATTTCAATAAAATTGTTTATTATTACCATGAAATTTCTGAGATGCTATTAACTGCTTTTGCTCTTTTTTAGAAAATTTAGAAAAATTGATTAAAGTTTTGTGCCAACAGACATGTCGCATGTTCTTGTATGTAAAAATTAAATTTGTTTATGAGAATTACAGTTCTTATGAAAAAAAAGGTAAAGAGTATTGTTTGTATATAAATATTTATATTTTGTTTACTTTGAATCTTTTAAAACTTTCTCAAACCATTTTTTAAATTTTTGTTTGCACAATTCAAGTTATATGTTTATTGTTTGCATTGTTTTTTTGATAATTATGTGTATATTGTAAAATGTGCTTTATAGCTTTTTTATCAATGTGTTTTTATAATAATGTAACATGTTTTTTTATTGTTTGTGTATGTGTTAATATAAGTTATATAATTGTTTTATAAATGTGTTTAAATATGTTTAAATATGTTTAAATATGTTTATATATATATATATATATATATATATATATATATATATATATATATATATATATATATATATATATATATATATATATATATTGTGTTTATAGTTAGTTTATATGTTTATATTATGTTATTTCCATGTTTTCAAAGTGCTGTGACTTGGTAAATGTGTAAAGCAAACCTTGCCAGCCAAGTCATTTACTTACTGCAGAGGGTTACACAGCAGTGTTTCGTGTCAAACTGTTACTGCTTTAGGTCTAGGTGTTTTCAGGCCTTTATTAATAATTACTCTGAAAATACATAATGATGTATTTTAATAACATTTTCCATAATGTTGTTACTGATGTTCTGTTATATATGAATGTTATGTTTCTTAAATTATGTTATATGCATATTATATGAACTTAAGGGGAATGCTATTGTTGTTGTGATGTTGTTTTTTTGTAATCTTTTGAGTTGATATACATTTGGTTTACCTTCAAGTTGTTGTCTATTGTTAAAAATGATACATAGGTAATTTCATTATTAGACCTCACTGCATTTAATCATTCACTAAAAGCCTACTATTCTGTATTATATATATTCACTAAAAGCCTACTACTACTACTCTGGTAAATCACATCAGCTTTATTAGGTACAATGATTTCTTTTTTTTTGTATGTAATTTTTTTCTTATTTACTTATTTGTTACATTTTTGTGGTATAGAAGAACAAAATATTGTTAAGTTTTGTGAATTTTTTAAAAATTTTTACTAATATTTTTTCAAAGAAATAATGTTGAAGTTTGCTAAAAAGGGTTTTACTACGTTTTTTTT